ACAAGCGCAGCAGGGAGATTTCAGAAGGAGAGATAGGAGTGGAGACGTATGTTTTTATTGTGGAAAAATAGGACACTGGAGGAGGGAATGCAAATCAGCAGCACGTATGTCTCAACCACAAAACACAGGACCAGCTCCTGCCACTAGGCGTCAGCAGAGCTCTTCCAGACAAGGTAACTGGCAACGCAGACAGGAATCACACCAAAATAATGGCCCCTTTGCACTTAGGCAGCAACCTTATAATCCACATTTTAATCCCCACCCATATGATAATGAAAGACTGGACCGACAATAGGGAGGCCCAGGTGAAGATGAGGGACAGTGTGAAGCACTACACACGATGCTGCATTTGCAATTGTCCCGTAACACAGAAAGCTTGCCCACGTTAGATATAGAAATAGGTGAAAAGATTTATTCCTTTTTAGTTGACAGTGGAGCCACTAAAAGTTCACTGTCTGGAAAATTCTATAGTGGGCCTGTTTCCTCTGTGTGCATCAACACCATGGGAATAAACGGAACTCTAGTGCAATGCCCCAAAACTCATTCTCTAAAAACACGCTGGGGCCCAAAACCAGACGAAATTACATATCATCCATTCATAATTATTCCAAACTCGCCTGTGAATCTATTAGGCAGAGATTTAATGGCAAAAATGAACTTGTGTATTTCATTTAACACAAAGGGTGAAATGTTTGCTGACACTGATAACAGCTATGTTTTCTCTGCCCTATGCACCGACACCATGGAGAAGGAACAGCCTCTGTGTCAGCTGGACGCCTCAGCGGAGAATGAACTCAATATCCATCTGACTGGTACCCCACGTCACACACTGTGCCAAACACGTGTACAGACACCACTACCAGGTAACCCCATGCCTGGAAGCCACATATTTGTTTCTCTCACACTGTTCAACAACATGATAACTGCTCACACCAGTGAAGGCCAAACAGTGGTTTTGTCACATAACTCAGACATAGGCTATGACATTACTGCACCATGTCGACACATAGATCTAACCTACCCCATACACTGTACTATCTCTGCTGTCACATTGCCAGCTGAATATCAAAACATGACATTATGGTCAAGAGGTGAGAATGATGTAGGATTTATTGACTGTACACCTTATCATGCTCAGCTGAAACACAACAAGCCAGTATATGTCAAGCAATATCCCATTTCCGCTGAAAAAGCCGCAGCCTTAGACATCATCATAGGAGATTTATTGACAGCTGGAGTAATAAAGCCCACAGTATCTCCATATAACACTCCTGTCAATCCTGTGCCAAAGCCTAACAAACCTGGCGTATGGCGTTTCACACAAGACTTAAGGCAAATTAATGCAGTCATCATGCCTCTGCCACCTCTGGTTCCAGATGTTCCCAGCATACTGACAGCTATTCCAGCAACAGCCACACATTTTACTGTGGTGGATTTGTGCTCTGCCTTTTTCTCAGTGCCTGTGCATGAGGACACACAGCCGATATTTGCTTTTACATATAGAGATAAGCAGTACACATGGACTCGCTTACCCCAAGGCATGGTAGACAGCCCTGCGGCTTTCTCAATGGTGGTACGTGCTACCCTGGACGGCTTCATTCCTCCAGAGGGCTGTACCTTGATCCAGTACGTGGATGATCTCCTCCTCTGTGCTGAAAGTGAAAAACTATGTCAAACTGCCACACATATGCTACTCCAGCACCTCCAACAGACTGGCCACAAAGCATCAGCAAAGAAAATGCAGTACTGTCAGACTTCTGTTCAATATTTGGGATTCACACTGTCTCACGGACAACGTTCCATGACTACAGACAGGGTCAAAGCTGTGACCTCTGTCCCTAAGCCCACTACACAGAAGGAAATGCTGTCTTTCCTAGGCATGGTGAACTATTGCAGACAGTGGATACCAGACTGTTCTTTTCATGACCACATTCTGCGTGAATGCTGCAAAAAAGACAAGCTTCCTCGAATACTGTGGTCAACAGAAATGACTGCCTCTTTCAATGCATTACAGGGAGCGCTGACCTCTGCCCCTTGTTTGGGTCTGCCTGACTACCACTTACCGTTCCACCTGTACGTCACAGAGAACGGCACAACCTGTGCAGGTGTACTGGCCCAAGAGCATGGCTGTGGCTACCGTCCAGTAGCCTTCTACTCAAAGGTGCTGCCAGCAGTAGTTCAGGGGATGCCGGCCTGCCTGAGAGCAGTAGCGGCTTGCTCTATCATGATAAGGGACTGCGAGAAGCTCACACTCTCACATGACACTATTCTACACACCAATCACCAGGTCACGACCATTCTAGCAAACATAACTACACAACATATGACCGCACAACGTCGCTCAGGTTATGAAGCTACACTGACTTCAACAGCAAATCTCACTATAAAAGCAAGCAGCACACCCAATTCGCCAGCACACTTACTCATTCGTATGCTGTGTTCCTCTGACCGACAGGATGGTTCAGACAACTTATTTCTTTGTGGCTATTCGGTGGTGACATTGCCTGACATCATACTAGAGGCTCACTCATTACCATTTCACTCAGCACAAAAAGCAGAGCGCATGGCTTTAATACGCGCCTGTGAGTTACATGTGGATAAGCGGGTAACAATTTACACTGATAGCCGTTATGCATTCGGTGTGGTGCACGACTTTGGCACATTGTGGAGACAAAGAGGATTTAGATCTGCTGATGGAAAATCGATTGCTAATAATAGTGGGATATCCAATTTCAGGTTTTCCTTAACAAAGATGCTATTCAAAAATGATAAAAAGGGGCCCTTAACAGTAACCCTGATTGAAGCGGTGCGAGTAGAACTAAGTCCTTTAGATTGTTTATTCATATACACAGGACAAGTCTCTAGTAAGGATGTTAGCATGATTAATGATTCTACCCACCCCTGCAACCAAATGAAGCACCCCGAAGACCGCACACTGAACCTCTTTCGCCCCCAACACAGGTGCGCCATCACCCAAATATCTTGATGACATGCATACACCGACCAAAACTTGAAAACATAAATTATGACACACAAAACTATACGTTCTTTTCTGACTCTCCAGGAGCACGCTGTAACGAAACATGGCTAGCAGCGAGTGTTGACAGGACACAATATAGACATATGTTTTCTTATATATATGCATATATAAGTACGCATTCAGATAACTCAACAATCCTGCATTCGCCCAACACACTAAACGACTCGTACTGGGGAGGCATATTAAAAGGCTTTACAGCTTCGCGCCTGACCAGACCAATCCCACATGCTTATTGGATGTGCAATAATACTCTTAGATTAGCCTTACCTGTTAATTGGACCGGTACCTGCGGTCTAGTAACTTTAGCTCAAGAACTACTGATACAACAAACCTCGGATCTGCCTGTATCCAGCAGACGGACACATAACGTTTACATAGATGCTATAGGAGTTCCACGCGGGATACCAAATGAATTAAAGGCACAAGGAGAAATATCAGCAGGGTTCGCCTCAATACTACCGTGGATACAGGTAAACAAAAATGTAGGCTGGATCAATTATGTTTATTACAATCAGCAAAGACACACCAATCTGACCAATACGGCCTTTAAAGCCCTAGGAGAACAGATGTCTGCTACCTCCTTAATGACCATGCAAAATAGAATGGCCTTAGATATGCTGTTAGCTGAGAAAGGAGGTGTTTGTGCTATGTTTGAAGATGTTTGTTGTACTTTTATTCCCAATAATACCGCCCCTGACGGTTCATTCACACAAGCTATGAATAAACTTGAAGCATTGCAGATAGAACTAAGAGCCAATACAGGTCACGGTCAGTGGCTAGACAAGTGGATGCAGGACACGTTTGGAAAATGGAAGGAACTAATTGTAGCCTTTGTAACAGTTGTAGCATGTATTATTTTGTTTTTGATGATTATTGCCTGTTGTGTGATACCCTGTGTACGCTCAATGATAACCCGTATAGCTACTAGTACAGCTACTTCAATGTATTTGCAATTAGCACAAATTGATCCTGAGGATGTGCCAGATGTTACCAATGATGTTCCTGATGTGTATATTGAACATTAGGCTGTGAACTATTACATTTTATGATTTGGTTTTTATATTATGTTATTACATTTGTGATTTTTCCTTTCTATTTGAGTTATTATTTTTAAAAATAATAAAAGAGGGGAACTGTTAGGTATTTTAGTACCATGGTAGCATTTACTGGATATTGTTTTATAGTGACATTATACAGGAAAACTCTGTCATTCAATAAGGCCCCTTTTGTTTTAGTTATTTTTCTCTTTGACCCAAGAATTGATGTGTGAGAATCACAGGCTGGTACAAGGTTGAAATACCACAGAGATCACTCCCTCAGCTACATTAGTTTCTTAATCTTTTAGACGCCTGTTGAAGGCCAAATGGTTTGTTTCAGATTTCACTAATGAAAGAACTCTTCGTTTTGTGCCTTGAAAATATGTCGCTGAGATAATCACAATTGTAGCTGAACTAATAAACTACACAAAGGATGCTTCTTCACCCAAGGGCAGGAAGACGCTCCCTTATCTTGGTCTGTACTGGTTTAAACTGATAATCTGCTGTCTCATGAATTTTACCCTCTATATAAACTGTTGTACTTGTGAATAAAGTTGAGTCAATTTGGGAAGACAATCTGAAGCAGTCTCTGTTTTCTTGTTCTCCCAAGCTGCTCCCGAGCTCGTACTAACACGCTGAATGGCATGCTTGAATATTGCTTGAGAATATATTTGACTGTGTTACAGACTAAGGGACATTCTCTGCTGATAGGTGAAGGTACATTCTCTGCTGATAGACGTCCACGCCTCGAAGGAAGTCGATCCACGGATTAGGCCTTGGAAACCGTTTCCTTCAGATACGTATGTCTGTTGTCAAGATATAATAGCTAACCAGTGGAGTTTGACAGTCTCATTAACGAACTTATTAATCATTGACCAACTGAGTGCACAGATGCACATACCTTTGTCAGGTTCAGAGGAAGGAGAAACAAAACTTTCAGTCGGAGGATTCATACATATGAAAAACTAAAATAAACGTTGTGTGATCATTGTCTGGGAGAGTGGAATCAACATGTCTACCAGTTTTACAACAGGTAAAAGCTTTTTTGTTTTAATTAAATTTGTTCTTCTATATACAGAACGCTTTATTTAATTGGAAACAAAAATAGTTTTGTATGCAGCTTTGCAGAGCATGAAATGGTCAACAAAAATCAGAGAAGCAGCTTATAACACTTAAAGTTCAGGAGTTTTTTATACAGTTAATTTAGCTACTTTCAACCTCTACAGTCTGTCACCACAATAGTTTAATCTTTTCTTTAAAGACCTTTGACCGAGGGTTATTATAAGGACAATGAAACCAAAGAAAGCTGGAGAAAAGTGGAATAGATTCAAAACGATTACTTTTACCATTTACACTGTCTAAAGTACTGAGACTTCTTCAATAATATCTACCAACATTTTTACACACTGGTTACAGTCAAAGCATAGATTCATACAGTTCATCCACTTAATGGACTGCACTATATCATTTCCCTCAAAAAAGCATATTAATTCATTTTTTAAATGCAGGTATTTTACGTCTGTTTATTTATGTATTTATTCTTTTATTAGGGCTCACAAGCTTTCAAGCACCACAGTGTATCTACTTGTGTAGGAGTGAAAGCTGTCAGACTGGGTTTTTTAAGGATTTGCAAACTGACTAAAAGGCCTTTGTATAGCATTGTATAATTTAATACTGAAATACTTTATTCTGTGTACTTATAGGACTTTATCTACAAGCACAACATGGCCAGTTTGCAATTACCAATTAAAAATTTACTTTTACTTTTGATCAGAGGAAGTCAGAGTAGAGGAAACACACACACACACAGGCACCAGACGACAGCTTTGCTTTTGTGCTCAGCTCTCTCTTCAACATGACAGGCACAGCGTCCACACCACTGCAGACGCCACCCCAATCCATCTGTCAATCTCTTGCTTTCCCCTCACTTTTGAGCAAGACTGCAAGATACTCAAGTTCCCGTCTTTTCTGGCTGAGGACCATGGCTTCAGATTTGGAGGCACTAAGTGTCATTGCAATGCTTCACACTTGGCTGCAAACCACTCCGTTGTAAGCTGAAGGCCACCACTTGATGCAGCTAACAGAACCACATCATCTGCAAAAAGCAGAGATGCAATTCTAAGCCAACCAGACTGTAAGCCTTCCACCACCTGGCTCCGTCAAGAAAGTCTGTCCATAAAAATTATGAATCAAATCAGTGACAAAGGGCAGCCCTGGTGGAGTCCAACACCAGCTGGGAATGATCGTGGGGAAGCTGAGAGCTACCACATGGACCTCCCTAGAGAGCAAAGTGAGCATCCTCGGCAGGCCTCCCTTGACACCACACCCCAGACCACACCACAGATTGACAAAAGGAAAGAATTAAGGTATTGCAATGGCCCAGGTAAAGTCCAGACCCCAACTCGAAATGCTATGATAAGATCTTAAGAAAGCTGTGCATAAATGAATGCCCACAAACCTCAATGAACTGAAGCACAACACTGTAAAGAACATTGGCCTAAAATTCCTCCGATGTGAGAAGGTGACATAATTAAGGGGCCTGAAAAATAAATTAAAGCCCATACAGGTAAATAACGTAATTTAACCAAAAGAAACAAATGTACTGAAATTATATTTCATTAATGTAACTTTATCTAATCCATTCTGGTTAAAGTGGTTATGATCTGTCTATCTAAAAGAAGGAAATGCTACCCAGGTTGGTATCTCCTTTAAGCCCCAAGATGTTTCCAAGCTACAGATTTTGCATAGGTGCATAGACTCCTTTAGCGGTTGAATGGCTGATAACTTTCTTCAACTTAATGAGGAGCAAACTGAAGTCCTTGTTTGTGCTCCCGATAAATTTGTGCCCAAGGTTATGGAAAAATGAGGTCCTCTTGCAACATTTGCCAAATCTTCTATTAGGAATCTTGGTGTTACTTTTGACTCAGCTCCTGTTTTTATCATTTAAGAAACATTACCAAGCTGAGTCCCATTGTGTCACACTCGGAACTTGAAATTGTCATTCATGCATTTGTTTTATCTCGTTTGGACTATTGTAATTCTTTGTTCACTAAGTAAGCCCTCAGAATGCTGCTGCGAGGCTTCTGACCAATTCCTCCAAGTACTCCCACGTCACACCCCAGCTGCACTGGCTCCCCATTAAATTCAGAATTTAAGATTATGACTCTGTAATTCAGGGCTCTGCATGGACAAGCACTGGCATACATCAGTGATCTTTTACATCCATACATCCCCAGCAGGCCCCTGAGGTCATGTGATCAGGGCTTGCTGGTTGACCATCACACGAGGCTGAAAATGAAAGGTGACAGAGCTTTTGTAACTGTGGCCCCCAGACTCTGGAACTCTCTCCCTACCAGCTTGATCTCTGTGGACTCTTTAAAAAACAGCTAAAAACTCGTCTTTTTAAACTTAATTTTGGTAAATTTTTCTTTTTATGTTTTAGCTTCTGTGAAGCACTCTTTTATTTTTATCTTTATAGGTGCTATATAAATAAAATTTTGCTTTACTTGCTTTTACTTTACTCACCACACAGGGGTTCTGTTGTCTATTTTATATTCAGATGGCAGCCCCCTGCCCACCACTGCAGCTCCCAGCACAGCTCTCACTATGGGTGCTGCTGACATTGCTATTGTTGTTGTCTACTTTATAATTGTCATGGTGGTTGGAATCTGGGTAAGAAGAGACTAAACTAATTTCATATTTACATTTGAATCACTAAACAGTTTATACCAAAGCTAATTTAAGCTTGATTTGTTTGTTCCTTTATGTGTAAAACATACAAGAAAGTTCTGTACAAGTCCCTGCTAAACATGTTTATATAGAAAAATAAAATTATTTTTACATGTTTTTTTCTACGTGTTTAATTAACTATAGTCATTATGAGTGCATTTCTCCATTTACTAGAAAATGATTCTTGGATGTTCTACAGAGAGTTCATCCTTGCAAAAAATAAACAGATTTTTTTTGACCCAGCTAATTGAGTTTTCTGATGTAGAAATGTGCATCATGATTGTAAATGTATTTACTATATTTTGCACCAGATCAATCTTTGGTGTTGTTTTAAAACTGTATTATTCTAATCTTTTCTTTTGTCCTTGCTATAGTCATCAATGCGTGTCAATCGTAGCACTGTTGGGGGGTACTTCTTGGCTGGTCGTTCAGTGACTTGGTGGCCTGTGAGTAACAAACGATTGACTGTTGTGCATCATATAAAGCTCTTGATTTCAAATCGATTGTCACACGCCTGTGCTATGAGGACCCTGTACAACACACACACAGCCAATGTTCTAATGCAAGGGACTTTCTATTTACAATAAACAACAGACTTAAGTCAAAGTCAAATTTATTTGTATAGCACATTTAAAACAACAACTGTTGACCAAGGTGCTGTACAATTAAGATAAGCAAAAGAAATAAAAACATAGGGAGACATGATAAAAGTTAAGAAAAAGAATCATAACATTAGAAGATTTGAGTAAATGATAAGATATATAAAAGTAATACAAATTCATTCTGGTTTAAAAGCTGTAGGGCCTGGTTTGTTTGCAGTCATCATGTCTCCAGCTTAGCTCTCCTCTCCTCTTGGCCCGAGAAAAGCGCTGCCAGTCTCAATGACACTGCCCCTGAATCCACTGCAACACGGTAAAGACTTGGAATCTAAACAAAACCAAAAAATAAACAAATATACAAAATGAAAATTTACAACATGAATTTAAATATATAACTAGAAAACTGGAAATCCTATGGAAGAGGATTGGGGCCACTGAAAAAAAGGGATGTCAGATTTCTGACTTTTTTCTCAGAATTCTGAAAAAAAAAAGACATCCCGACTTTTTTTTCCAGTGGCCCCAATCCTCATCTGTAAAACCCACTGTCAATAGAAAATTGTTCTTAGTAGTCAGTATAGACTTTTAATATAATAAGTTTGCATATGATAGAATACTGCATGAGGACCTCTTTATAACTCAGACTGTTTTTAGTTACCCGTTATCATGCAGGGAAGGAGCAGTACCTATTAGTGCTAGATAAGAGCTTAATGAGCAGTTTCACTTCGTGCCAGGTAGAGAAGCCTCTCCTGGCACACACGCACACACACATATACACATCCACATTCCAATGTGATAAACGAATGCACCTACTTTTGTATATAAATAAAGACCAGAGCGGTAACAGAGCGCACTTCACAGGGCCCCCACTCCGATGTGAGCGCTCTGTGACCGCCCTTGCAAGTAAAAACTGCAGCATGTGTGTCTCCACTCTCTGACTCTCAGCTGAAGAAGTGTCTTTTAGAATAAATCTCTTGACATCCACCCTGGAGACTGACTGAAGACAAAACTTTGTTAAAACTAAAATAAGAATGAGAAATACTAAATTATATGGTAGGAATTGTGTTGATTTTCTGTATAAACTAAATATGACTAAAGTGCAGTCACAGGCTGTCATTTAAAAATGTTATTATGTAGTTGTAAGTATTTTAAGTAAGTATTCTAAAAGCTTTTGTTGTTATTGTCTATTATCTCTGTTCCACTACAGATTGGAGCCTCTCTGATGTCCAGTAATGTTGGCAGTGGTTTATTTATTGGTCTAGCAGGGACAGGAGCAGCTGGAGGAATCGCTGTTGGGGGATTTGAATGGAACGTAAGAGATGCGCACACACACTCAGACACCCTGTTGGGCACTGCATGCAGGATTTAAAATAACAACATGATCATTCAGTAGTTTCTTTGTAAGGACAATCATTTCATAATCAGTTTGTGATTCAATCGGGTGGCAATGAAGCTAATATGGGAGAAATATGATTTTTTTTCCTTCTTGTCCCTGGAAGTATTCTCAGTTAAGTATTTTGGATCAACTGAAGGGTTTTCAGAAAACATTTAGGACAACATGATTACAGGGAATTATAGTAGTCCAGCCTTGATATAAGACAGAACAACAATGAAAAACTATGTGTACATGCACCACAGAAATTATTCATTTAACTATTGCTTTCGGTTTCAATGCAACTTTTAAGAGTTGCTCTGAGTATTTCTACATCTTCATTGTGTTGGTTGTAACATTATATGTTTTGGGGTTTCTTTTTACACCAAAATCTGTTAAATCAGTTAACACTAGTTGACTATGAACAGGTTGTATTCAATTATCTAAATATGCGACTGTCCGAGCTGGATCACTGCAAGACTAAAGATTTAGATATGCTATGTAAATAGGGCGAAAACTCCCAGTAGACGCTTGTTTGGTACTTCTTCATTTATGCTATTTAAAACTTTGCAATGTCCAAAAGTGAAAAACATGAACAACTGTTATATTTACTTTTGACAATACGGACAATGGCTCAGTGCAACATTTTGTGTTTCTGTGTGTTTCTGTAGGCATCGTGGGTTCTGGTAGCTCTGGGTTGGATATTTATCCCCGTTTACATCTCTGCTGAAGTGGTAACAATGCCTGAATACCTGGCCAAACGCTTTGGAGGCCAGAGGATACGCATATACATGTCTGTTCTGTCACTTATTCTCTACATTTTCACCAAAATATCAGTAAGAGGGTTTTTTTTTCAAATACATAAATGATCTTAATATGATACAGTAGCCACATTACCTGTGTGTGCGTGTGTGTGTGTTTCCCAGACAGACATTTTTTCCGGGGCATTGTTTATCCAGGTGTCATTTGGGTGGAATCTGTATCTGTCTACAGTCATACTGTTGCTGGTGACTGCTGTCTACACTGTGGCAGGTAAAACACAAACACGTTTTGACTGTTTTTAGTATTAATGTTAAAAGTTATGTCAGTGCAAGCTTTCAACAGCATAACTGTTTGCCATCATTTAAAATAAATTACATCAGTTTTTTATCTGATGGGTTTTTCTGGACGAGAACCAATTTTTTTTTATCCCACATGCAGTATCCCAGTATCCCAGCAAATTTTGATTTAGTTAGTCTCTTGACCAAAATGTCAAACTTTTTAATCATAATTCCTTTTGGTTTAATCAATTTTTAATCAACAAAATATCACAAGACTATAATATACAATAGGAGGAATGATGCTGATGAGTACCAAACACAACACTGGAGACATTAATCCAAGTGTCTAAGCAAAGGGCTTTCTGGAGTTAGTAATGAAGAGAGTCGACTGTCCATGGGATCGTCAGACACTTCTTTTCCACAATATTATACCCACCTGATGTAAACCACAGGGCAGTCAACCCCCCTTCCTGCTAGGGCAAAATGGCCCTCAGGCCTCTGCTCCGCAGCACAAAACGGAGGGAGAAGTTAAGAGCAGGGGTTTCTCACGTCCCAAGTGGTTCCCCAGATACTGTACCTCCCTCCGTCCAGCCGCACACTTCTTTGTGTTGGCCATGTGCTTCACCTGCCTCAGGAAATCCAGGACCGCAACCACTGAATATGCTCCGCCCAGGTGTTACTATGGATGATGATGTGTTCCAGATAGGCGTCAGTATACAAAGTGTGCGGTTGCAGTACTCGGTTCATGAGGCGCTGCAAAGTGCCTATTTTTTCCTGGACTCTGCAGACAAGACAATATGCCAGTAGCCCATGGTCACATTCAGTGTTGTGAAAAAATGAGCTGTGCCTAACCAGTCCAGTAGTTTGCTGACCCCGGCGCATGGGAAAAGCAGACGTGGGGTCACCCAGCAGCCACGGTGCAGAAGCCACAGGGGGCTGCAGTGACGATCCCGCAGGCGTGGAGACAAACAAAAATGGACACTGTACACACACTGACACTCGCCAAACATACTCTATACCCCAGGTCCTGGCACCATTGCCCCCAGAGGGGCAATCCGCCCCAAGACCCAGGAGAAGTTATCCTTTTCCCTGGGGTGGGGACAGTCCTGCAGCAGCAGGGAGGCCCAGCATCCCAGAACCCAAACAGATGGCCAACTCCTCCTCCCAGCCCCCAGCCCCCTGCCCCGATGGCGGAGAGAACGGGAGTGTGAAGACCCCATACCTCTCCCTCTCTCTCATGTGTAGTGTTGCTGCGTGTTGTTCTAAAGTGCATTTAAAACATGGGAGGGGCTGCCAGAGAGCAGCAGGTGACGCCACGGCCCGAGAACCCTCAGTGTCTACATGCATTTAAATTGAGAGGTGGGCACCAGAGGTAAGGTTGAATACACAGACCATCCTCTGGACGCCGTATAGCACGCCCACCCCCAAGGCCCTATATGTATGTGTTATGAGAGTGTGAGTAATGTGGATGTCTATGTTGTGGAATAAAAATGAGGCACAGGAGGCCAGAAGGTGACAGAGGAGGAATCCCTCCCCTGCACCTTGGTGACACACCTGTACCCCAAGACACTGCATGTGTGGGTGGGTGTGATGGAGGCTGTTTCCCTCTGTTACTAACATTCAGGAAGTCCAGCAGCCAGTTACACATGGGGGTGCTGATACCCAGGGAGCTGAGTTTCCTCACCAGCTGCTGGAGAACAATTGTATTAAATGCTAACTTAAAGTCAACAAGGGGTGACGATAAAACATTGTCATCTACAGTTTTTCAAAGTGTCTGTAATTATGATTTTAAGGAAAATGAAAATGTTACCATGTTTGTTCAGTGCTCAGAGTGCAGTTTGTATTTAGTAACTCACTGTGTCAGGAATGATGGACCCGACCACATATTTTGCTCTTTACACACTTCTTTATTCCTGGTTGCTGCTCTCCCAACAATTGGCTGCAGCATTTCAGCTACAGCCACACGACAACAACAACAGCAACATCAACCTCAGGTCCTGGCACATTTGACATAGGGTGATGAGCTGATCGAGCTCAGGTGTGTCAGCCTCCCCCACAGCCACGCCACAAACCACACCCCGCCACACTCACCTAGTTCAACTGTTTTTGAAATAAGAATTTGTTCAATTATTTATGTTGAAAACGGTCTAAATAACACTATTACCCTAACACAGACAATCTGACAATAATATAAAAATCTGTATTTATGTAGGTGGTTTGGCAGCTGTGATCTACACTGATGCTCTCCAGACTTTGATCATGGTTGGAGGAGCTTTTGCCTTAATGTTCATAGGTATGGTACACAGACTTATACAGATACACAAACACAATCATGGGTTCTTAATTACATGACTTACATAGTACTGAAAGTTTGGATTAAAAGGTGTTATTGGCCGAAATGTTTCAAGTTAAGTATCAATCAAAAAATAGAAAACTGTTTCTTTGCATCCAATTATCCTCACTGAAGGCTTCCACATCTACATGTCATAATATTTATTAGTTAATAAGTGAAGTTATAAAATTGTAAAAGTCATTGTACATTTTCCAGCATTCTCCAAGGTGGGCTGGTATGAGGGCCTTATGGATCGTTACATGTCAAGTATTCCCAATGTGACTGTTCCCAACACCACCTGCCACTTACCCCGTAGTGATGCTTTCCACATGTTCAGAGACCCTGTAACAGGGGATTTACCCTGGCCAGGTCTACTGTTTGGGCTCACCGTACTGGCTACATGGGTCTGGTGCACAGATCAGGTGATTTGATCTAAACTAAAATTCAGCATGGTGTAGTAATGTTATTGTAGCGGCACACTGCTGTGGGAATGATCCTGGAGGTGGCGGTCTCAAAAACTGATAACATTCGTCTTTGTGAGTCTAAAAAATATGTCCCAATACAAATAAATAATGCAACTGATTTTAATTCCTCAAAACACACCTTGAACTCTTTATAACATTCTTCCTTCTCAGGTTTGAATGTAAATGACAAAAGGCAGCATTTGCATACTTGGTCAAAAATGAGTATTACCTGCTATAGCCAAGGTAATGCCATCCAGAGTCTCTAGAGCAGCATATCTCTAGTTAGAGATATGCTGCTAAGATATTTAGGGCAACCTCAGTTTTAACAGTTTTAATTTCTAACAAGTCAGTGTACTCTTAATGCCAGTCCCAAGCTCAGATAAATGGGAACAGTTGGATCAAGAAGGGCATTAGGCATAAAAACATGGCCAAATAAAACACGCAGATCATCTATAATGAAATTTCTATGCTGGATTGGTTGTGGCCCAGGTTAACAATGTCCGCCAACAGGGTGCCAGTGGAAACTGTTCTACTGTTGGCCAAAAGAAAGAGGTGAAGTGGAAGAGGCAGCATGAGTAAAGAAAAGTCACAGATGTGGAAGTGAGAGTAGAAACTATAAATTCAGGGACTATAGAATAGAATAGCCCTTTATTGTCATTGTACATGTACAAGAAAATTGTGGGTGCTCCACACCAACTGCACCACAATAGAATATAAATAGTAGACAGGAGGAATAAATAGCAAATAGTAAATATATATCATCAAGAGGGATATATATATACAAAAGAAGAGAAATCTATAAAAAGAAATAAGAGAAAGGCACACATTAGAGAACAAAATAATTGCAAAGTGCTCAAAAGTGGTGCAAAGAAAAGACTTGCTCTGAGTATAGATTCAGGCTGGTTTGTGAGGAAATCTTTGCCTGTACTTCACTCGTCTTCCAAAGTTTTGGGTTAGGAAAAACTAGCTGGAGGCGAGCATCATCTGGTTATGTTTTAACAACTTTTGAGGGGTTTATTTACTGAGTGGGGTGTAGGCAGAGGAAAGAGTACAAGGAGACTTGGTGGTGGAATGAGGAAGTAAAGCAAAGTATTCAAAGGAAGAAGTTACCAAAGAAAAAGTTGGATAGGCAGATGAAGAAAGTAGACATGAGTACTGGGAAATTCGGCATACCGCACAGAGAAATGCTTATAAGGAGTTGTATGTGATACTAAGGAAGAAGGAAAGGACTTGTATCCGTTGGGTAGCCAAAGAGACTGAGCTGGAGCAGACATGTAAACGGTTTCATTAATTAAGGATAGAGATGGAAACAAGTGAACAGAGTTTTTTGAGGAAGAAGGAGTACTTTGACGAGCTGATGTAGACAATGAGAGAGAGAGGATCACAGTCATTTTGTCCCTGTGTTACAACACTAAATATGAAACACCCCCTCCCTTTTTTAACATTAAAAATTTCGGTGAATTGCATTACTTATTTGAATTCAAACATATTTTTTAGACTCAAAAAGTTATTTGTTATCCGTTTTTTGAGACTATCACCTCTATTGATCATTCTCACAGTAATTTGGCGATGAAATATTCTTACTGCATAACGCTGTTTTACTTCTCATTGCATCACTTCCAAACCTATCCTGCTTTTCTAAAAAACGTAATTACTTCTGATCGGAGAGATGAGAATCTCTCCAGTACATCTTCATCTCAATTGTGTCAAGTGTCATTGTCCATTAGTTTTTGTTCAGTTATCATTTTGTTTATGTCAGGGAAAAAAGATCATCTACAAAGACTATGACAAGAATTATTGGTCAATACAATTAACAGTGTTTAACTGTATTGTAATGTCATTTTTGAGACAGTGTTGACACTTCACAAACCAGAAACCACAGCAACATTTCAGAAAATGCTATAACGAAAAACAAAACACAAGAAGAATATACAAAAGTACATTATCTGAACTACAGTTAAGATACAGGGATGCATACACCTGTAAAGGCCAGCTTGCCAATAGTTACTCTTAATCATTAACCAACATTAATAAAAATGAGAACTGATTCATATAATCATGTCTGTGTTCTCTACTAGCCTTATATAACTGGGCAATGACAGATAACCCACAAGCTAGGCAGCTGAAAATCACATTTCCCCTTCTGAATGTGATAGACTTTCACTAAACTTTTCAACAGCTTGCTAATGTTACCAGCTTTATGAGACCTGATGCATTTGTGAGGTTTGCACGCACTGACTGTAGAAGTGTAATCACATTTTTGAGTGTTTAGTTCTCTACTATTATCATTAAAACTAGAATCTGTGTGCACACACACTTGCATATTTTAATACAGTATTTATTACTATTACTTATATTTGTGTTACTTATTGTGTATAAATAATATAGAAGGTTTGCAAATGTAAAGTTGAACATTACAAAAGTACAAAATGTGTAATGCAATGATGGATAAAAATGATTATATGTTTATGCTGGTGTGTGTTTTTTCTTCAGGTTATAGTCCAAAGGTCTCTGTCAGCCAAATCTTTGTCTCATGCTAAAGCAGGCAGCGTGTTGGGTGGCTATCTCAAACTGCTCCCTATGTTCTTCGTTGTGATGCCAGGAATGATAAGTCAAGCACTATTCCCAAGTCAGTAGTATACCTCTCAAAGTGGGAATGTTATATGACATGTTTTTTAATATTGTTTTATATGCATACTTATATAATACCATTTTGATTACCTTGATATTATTATATATATTATAACAGATGATGCATCTCTTATTATTGTTATTATTGGTTTAAAGAGATTGTTTGCAACTCCTTTTTCAACAAACCTACACTATGACACCATTCTAAGCAGGTCTCCACTTAACTTTACGTTGGAAAAATTATCACATTTTTACGTTTGTTGACACTTTCAATTCATGTTAATGGAGTGGGTAATTGTAGGTAACACATCTGTGGTGTTTTGTCTCATTTAATATAAACTAAATTGTTATTTGTTTCAGCCCCACCTTTGTTTTCTTCTTTATTTGTAGATGAGGTTGGTTGTGTGGATCCAGATATCTGTCAAAGTGTGTGTGGTGCTTCAGTTGGTTGCTCTAACATTGCTTACCCTAAACTAGTAATAGAGCTAATGCCTGTGGGTAAGACACACACATACACACACACTCATTTTGATATCTTAGTGAAGACATCTAAAAATCAAACTGACATAATGCTTTCCCTACCTGCTTACCCTAACTCTAACTATCAAAAAGGAATGCTTAACCCTAACCCTTAGCCTAAACCTTACCATAACCTAATAGTAACCCTGACACTAAGAACATATTTTAAAATGTCAAAACCGTGAGGACAGGCACTTTCCTCACAAGTGACTGTTGGTCCCCACAAGTATAGTAACACACACACACGCACACACACACACACCTATCTATCCATGTATGGCACAAGAAGTAAGAACATTTTTGTTTGCTCAGTTATATCTGTGTTTTAACAATGCCTCTTGGCAAGAAATCTTAAACTGTTGAAATTGTGTTTATTTCCCCTTAAATGGTGCCACAATTGTAGGGAGAATGTATTTATGGATTGAGCAGTAGAATCAAACCCAATCTTCTCTGTCAATACTAAACAGCTTATTCTGCTATTGACTCTTCTTTTGAGCTTCTGGTACCCAAGATGCTGACAATCAGGTGTGCGACTGGTGCCTAATTAAAAGCAACTGTAAGCAGGGACCCTGCTACAGCACTCAGTTAGTGCCTCCTCCAAGCATGCCACATTTGACTAATCTCAATAGGGACCGTACCAACCTGGAGCTGGTCTTCCATAGAACCAAGTTCAATTCGATTTATTTCAATTCTTTTTAAATAGCACCAAATCACATCAGCAGTCACCTGCATGCTCTTCATTATTTGGAATGAGCCCCCAGAACCATCTCTAAATTGAAGGCCAAGTTTCATGTAACGGGCGATGTCAGCTACAGGCCACATCCCAAGAAGATGGCACAACAGGAAGACAGTTTCCTCACCCTGTCAGTAATAGACAGTCTTTTACAGATTTGCAGTCAAGGTTTACAGAACAATATGGCTGATGGCTCTTTACTGAGATAATCCAGAACAGATCTTGATGCCTTGATGTTCTCAGAGATAAACACATGCATTAAGAGAGTTTATAAAAATCTATGTTCTTCTTCCATGGCAACAACTGACAATAAGCAGATTTTATAAAAGGATGTGCCATCATTTTTTTCTTCTTCACAGGACTTCGTGGTCTGATGTTGGCAGTGATGTTAGCTGCTCTTATGTCATCCCTGACTTCCATTTTTAATAGCAGCTCTACTCTGTTTACACTGGACCTCTACCACAAAGCCAGGCCTAAAGCTTCTGAGTTGGAACTTATGATAGTTGGAAGGTAAGATTGACAAGAATACCTTATATGCTTTGGAAAACCAATACAAAACTCAGATGTTCTACAACATTAATACCAAAGCTATACTTACCCTAAATACAGTTTTCAATTGAGCAAATTAGTAACATGAGGTTGAAGAGCCCAGATGTCAGAATTGGTATGTGGACCTACAAACAGATTCAAATACAGGAAGCAAAAGTAAGATGTTCTCACAAATTTTATTGAGCGACAGAGTGTAAAACTAAGGCACAGGGAATGAATGTTTGGTGTGGAATCTAGACGTGGGGGATGGTGAAACAGATGGAGTCTATGGCTTACTTGACTAGTGGAGTGGCAGTGGCAGTGGGGGAGGTAGTGTTGGCTGGGTGAGTGTCCGATAAAGTGGAGTGGAGTGAGTCCAACCTGAATGACCCAGAGATGCAGAGCTATGAATGTAAGAGAGCAGGCAGGTGGTGAATAGTGAGTCTGTGTGAGAGAGGCTGTGAGTGGAGTCCTAGAGAAGGTGACCAACGTCCAGGGGGGTATGCGTTCTGCAGTCAATGGAAGAGGTGATCCAAGAGGCTATAAGGGCACAAGAGAACAAGGTAAGTTTACAAAGAACTAAGCACTAGAGATAAAGGCGTCCTGCCACTAACATGTGGTTAGTCTACGAACTGGCGAAGACCAGATGTCGGGGCTGGTCTTAAATACTGCCTTAGGTTAGCCTGGATCTCCAACAGGTGCAAGTAGCAGATGTACTCACCATGGCTCTGCCCAGAGGAGGACACACAGGGACACCATGGAAAAATCCAGACGACTCACCTGGACCATTACAGTAGTATTAACCAGAGCCAGACTGGGTTTGGCTCCAAGGGCTGAACAGAATGTTTTCGAAACCTGGGAGGTGAACTGTGGTCCTCTGTCTGACACGATCTCAGTCAGGATGTCGTACAGGCTAAACACATGATCCACCAGGATGTTAGCCGTCTGGGATGCTGTGGGAAGTCTTTTTAGGGCGATGAAGTGCTCGGATTTGGAGAACCTGTCAACAACAGTCAAAATGGTCGACTTCCTGGAGGAAACAGGCAGGCTGCTAACAAAACCTAAAGCAATGTGGGATCAAGGCTGACTGGGAATGGACGATTGGTTGAAGCCGAACTGAAGGACGTTGAGTTTTATTTTTGTTCCGTGCAAAGATGGTGCATGCGGCCGAATAATCCCGGACATCCTTATCTAAAATCTCCCAACAGAAATGTCTTTTAAGTAATGAAGTGGTCGTACCTCTCCAGGACAGGAAAACCAGGTGGTGTGAATACAGTCCAGAGTCACCCAATGTAACGATGATTAGCTGGTCTCGAGCTTGGATCTGGCTCTGACACAAGAGCTTGGCTAATGGCCTCCTCCACATCCCAGGTAATGTAACCAATCTTACAGGTGGGCAGAAGTATAGTTGCAATCTCAGAGATGTCAACCTCAACTATGAATGGTTTAGTGTCTAGGTGAATTAGGACTGGTGCTGATGTAAACAGATACTTCAATTTGGTGAAGGCGGCTTCAGCCTCAGGGGACCAGATGAACGGGACTTCAGTGGATGTGAGCTGTGTAAGAGGTGCTGCTACCTGACTACAGTTGCAGTTGAAGTGGTGATAGAAGTTGGAAAAGCCGAGAAACTGTTGAAGATATTTATGTTAGGTAGGTGTTGGCCACTCCTTAACTGATTGAACCTTTGCTGGGTCAGTCTTCATCTCCTGCCAGAATGTATCCGAGGAATGAAACAGATGTTTAGTAAAATCCACATTTCTCAGCCTTGACATATATCCTGTTTTCCAAGAGATGTTGGAGGACTGCACGAATGTGAACTTGATGCTCCTGAAGGAATTTGGAGAATATGAGTATGTTATCAAGATAGACGAAAATATTCAGAAAATCTCTGCGAACATCATTCACCAGTGCCTGAAAGACAGCAGGGGCATTAGTAAGACCAAACAGCATCACCAGATTTTCAAAATGACCTAGAGAGTATTAAATGTGGTATTCCAATCATGCTGCTTTTTTGTTTTACTTTATTCTTTTTTATGTAATCCTGCACATAGACATAGACAGGTGAAATGTGGATAAGGTAGGATCTAGGGAAGTTTGCATGTTGGGGTAATGTTCTCGTTGATGGCATCTGGTCGTGATCTTTTGTTTAGTAAGCATGCTATTTGTTTTGGGTAAGTTTGTTACGTGAGTGCATTCAGGGAAGTGGTGCAATCACCAAGACTCCGCCCACTTCCACATGTATGAAGACCAAAAAACTGTGTTTTTTCTGCTCTTCTTCACCTGATCCCAGCTGTGAGTGAACCATTTGAATGTGTGATCGTGGACTGTGTGGGCCCATTGCCTAAAGACAAAACTGGACATCAATTTCTGCTAATGTTAAAGTGTGCTGCTACACGTTTCCCAGAAGCTGGTCCACTCAGGAGGATTTCCGCACCTCTGGTCATTAATACCTTAACAAAGTTTTTTACTACCTTTTGGAGCTCAGGAATCAAACATATAGTGGCTAATGCTTATCATTCTCAGTATCAAGGAGCTCTAGAGCAGTGGCACCAAACCCTTGGATCAAAGTTACAGAAATACTGCTTAAACACAAGTAAATACTTGGATGAGGAAGTGCCAATGGTTGTGTTTGCCATACAGGAATCACTTTTTGGACACAGTCTGGGGGCATAATCAAAACTGATGTTCTGGATTATGTTTCAAAGTTTAGATAACACTTGCACACAGCCCTTTTAGTTGCAGGCCCTATCATCTGCCCAGGCCTCAATGTAACATCGGTATGATAAGACAGCAGTGTCCTAGCAGCGGTGTCCTAGTCCTTAATGTCACCTGGCAAGAAGGCTCGTTTCTCAGGACCTTAGGTGGTCAAAAAGAAGGCATGTGAACCTGATTATGAGGTTAAAGACCCCTGACTGGAAGCAACAAACCCATGTACCACAGCAGAGATGACATTTCCTCAGATGTTGCAAAACCGCTCGTTGTACCTTTGGCAACTGTATCAGCTGGTGACCCTGAGACCTCTCCAGTTCCCATCTCTTCCCTCATCTTTAAGGAGTTTAAGTTAAGTTTTCATGTTTCCGCTGTAGAGTGCTCTGAGTATGCAATGGATCTGAAACGGTTTAAATCTTCATTTTTATATTATCATCAGTTAAAATTTCAAAGGACAACATTTGATTTCTAGATAATTGTGCTATTAATAGTAACTCTGGGCCCCTGTGGAGTCGGACTAAAATAGGATTAAAAAAAGAAAACTAAGGAATCATTTAAACATATAGACTCCAAAAGTAACACAGGTGCGTAGCATCGCTACTTAACTAGCAACGAATTAACAAAAGGGATTACAGAGTGACGTTAGATGTTCTATAGAACTATAAGATGTTAAGATGTGTCTTGTTAATTATAGTGATGTGGTTGTATTTTCTGTTGATTTAATGAACTGTCAGTCACAGTTTTAGCAGCAGAGCTGAAGGAGTCAGACTATGTAAAAAAGTGTACTCCAAAAGTGCAGCATGGCAGCTCCTGCAAACAGGAAATCTTGACTATCTTATCTATATCTTCCATCTTTTCTACAGTCATTGGTGGGGCTAGGTTAATCGAAAATTTTAAGTTGCCCTTTGGTGTGAATGGAAGTCAAATGGTTGTTTGTCTCTCTGTGTTAGCCCTGCACCAGACTGGCAATATGTCCAAGGTATACCACGCTGCTCGTCCTATAGTAGCTGGGATAGGCTCCAGCCCTCCATGACCCTGATAAGGATAAGAAGTAGACAATAAATGGATGGATAATAACAATAATGCGTGTGTTTTCAGGGTGTTCATCCTCGTCTTGGTGTGTCTTAGTCTGCTGTGGATTCCTGTTGTCCAGACAGCCAATAGTGGACAGCTGTTTGACTATATTCAGTCAGTGACCAGCTTTTTAGCACCTCCCATTACTGCTCTATTCCTAATGGCTATCTTTTGGCCACGAGCCAACGAGCAGGTATGTCTGCCTCTTCAGATTCAATCCAATTCAATTGTATTGGTCCCTGTGTCATTCTATCCCTTGCATCCTCTTATGTTAAACCAACTGACACCTTCACTACATTCACAAATGTCCTCTGAAGTCTTCCTCTTTTCCTCCTGCCTGGCAGCTCCATATTCAGCATCCTTTATCCAACATATCCACTATTCCAACTCTACATATCTCAACTCTAGCTTTGTCTCCAAACTGCTAAACATTTGATGTACTCATTTTCTAATCTTATCTATCCTAATCTTGTGATTGGAAGAGGACGTGTAGGATGGCTTTCATGTGCAAATCCATCCTCAGACTACTCTCCAGTGTGTGTGTGTGTGTGTGTGTGTGTGTGCCATTCCCTAGTCTTGAGATTCTTGCAAGTTGATATATAGAGATATGTCCTGTCTCCTCTTAATTTCATTTAGAGCTCTTTCGTTTTTTTAGTGCAGTCACTGTTGAAGTTTCCTGACGCTGTTACGATGATACCAAGGTTCGGGCCATGGCTGGGAGCTGCATTTCAGCCAGTGGTGTTCGAGATTTTTGAAAGTATCTGATTAACAGCAGCTTCATTTTTCAGCATGACAATGACCCCAAAAATACAGCCAATACAGTGAAAACATACTGGATAGAAAAATACACAGTAGAACACCACCAGTCGTTGACTGGGCCTCTCAAATCTTCAACATTACTAAAGCAGTATGAAATCACTTTGACAGAGAATTTAAAAGAAAATAATAGATATGTAAACACAATTTTAAAAACAAGCAGAAACCTTAATAACTTGGGGTTTTTTTTTTTCTTTGCCAGTTCCAAATTATTCAGCATCTAACGCGTTGTGTATGTCCTCTGTCTCAGGGTGCATTCTGGGGTCTGATGGCTGGACTAGTGATAGGACTGATCCGAATGGTTCTGGAGTTCTCCTATTCACCTCCTTCCTGTGGTCAGCCTGATCACCGGCCTGCAGTCCTAGCTGATGTCCACTACTTGTACTTTGCTCTCATCCTGTTGGCTCTCACATGCCTCATCATTGTTGCTGTAAGCCTGGCCACTGCCCCAATACCTAAAGAAAATGTGAGGAAAATTCCTTATATTATGATATTATATTTATATTCTGATCTCTGGAGTGGTAATCAGAAGGTGTCTACTGAACAATATCCAGGGTTCATATAACATATGATTCCTGTTGCAAAACAAACGAAAGAAAGAAATGCAAAGGGAAAGTGTAACCAAGTTGCAGTTAAGAAATTCATTTTGATTATGTGGATTTCAACCTTCTTTTGACTGCTTCCTTTAGGGGTCACCAAAACAGATAATCTTGCTTTCATCTGTATGAACTATTGAACCCTTGAGGATTCTTAATCTACAGAAATTGAAGTTGCGAGATTTTAATACATTTAAGGCTGGGGCGACCGTGGCTCAGGGGGTTGGGAATCGCATCTGTAACCGGAAGGTCGCCGGTTCGATCCCTGGGCTCTCTGTCCTGGTCGTTGTGTCCTTGGGCAAGACACTTTACCCTACTGGTGTTGGCCAGAGGGGCCGATGGTGCGATATAGCAGCCTCGCTTCTGTCAGTCTGCCCCAGGGCAGCTGTGGCTACAACCGTAGCTTGCCTCCACCAGTGTGTGAATGTGAGAGTGAATGAATAGTGGCATTGTAAAGCGCTTTGGGTGCCTTGAAAAGCGCTATATAAATCCAATCCATTATTATTATTGTTCATCACTGGAATCATCATGGGTTACTTTAAACATACAGACCTGAAAAAAATACTTGATTAGGTCTATACAAATACACTGACAGTATATAAGGCGCATACACCTGTGCACCTCGGACTATCAGATCATATCCCTCTCATTCTGATCCCAATGTATACACTGTGGGTGCGCATTGAAAGAACTGCAGTCAAAACAGCGCAAGACTATTTTGATCAAAGAAACTGGGAATTGTTTGCAGGTGAGAGTTATGTGGAAAACTGTGTCTGTTCAGTTTAGGGGTACATAGAGTTTTGTACTGAAAACAATACAACAAAAAGAACAATAAATCTATTTCCTCATTGAAAAGCCATGGTTGAACAGTAATTTTAGGGCTCTACTTAAAAAAAGGCATGCAGCCTTCAGGACAGGGGACAGACGAACCTACAGCACAGGAGAAACTCCAGAGAAGCATCAGGGAAGCAAAGCAAACCATAGAAAATGACAATCCCAGCGGTATGTCGAAGAGCTTTAAGGTACTGGTGGACTACAAGACCATCAGAATGCTGCCAGATGATGACGATGCTACACTGCTTGATATCTTGAACAGGTTCTTTCCCTGTTTTGACACCAGGAGAGGAGGGGAATGACTGGTCATTTAGCCAAGTAGACAATACACACTTGTCCTTCAACAGCATCAGATGAGGACTGTGTTAAAAGGCATCAACATCCACAAAGCAGCTGGTCAAATATCCTTGGACAAGATATTAACCCTAAGTTGCTCTCCAGTGTGTGTGAATGTTAAATAGAAAGCACTCGTGTAGAAAGAGCATAGAAAAAAGTGCTCATGTGTAGTGAGCATGAGCATATAGTGAGGTTGGGGAGTAGCCAACTAAGTGGTGTAAGGAAAATGATCTAATCTTGAACACATCAAAAGAAGCTCGTGCTGAAGTTCTACGGGAGTATATACTGATGACTCATGCAACAGTGTGGTATGCCAGCTGTTCTGCTGGTGAAACGAAAGAGCTGCACAGAGTGGTGCAGACAGCAAAGTGCATTACTGGGATGGAGTCAAGGAGGCTGACGGTATCAGCAAAGACAGTACACTCCTGGGATATTCTCAGTTTGAACCGCTTCCATCTGGCAAACAGTTCATTGTTTCCATCTAGAGTGGTAGCTTCCACTACACTACCACTGTAAAGATGGCACAGAAATACTCAGACATTTCAGTACAAACAAAACATAATTGGCTCGACACAACCTTATACAGTCGTGTATAATGCTGCTATTTTACTTCTCTGTTGATTCTGCTTAAGTTTGCTACTAACTTTATTTTTATCTCTTAAATTTAAATAAGTTTAAGTTGTTTTGGTTTTTTACTTGTATTGTTTTGTCCTAAGAGAGAAAGCCAAACCAAATTGAATTGTACTATGTATAATTAAATTGAAATCATTCATGTATTTGATCATTGGTAATCTGTAATAATTGTTTTTCATTCGTCGTCTCTTTTCATGTGTAGCTGCATAGGCTGACCTGGTGGTCCAGACATAGTCTTGAACGGCGGATGGATCTCTCAAGTCTTCAGATCACCTCTGACCAAGTGGACTCTAACCTCAGCTCAGAGTCTGACCGATTGCAAGAATCCACTTGGAAGAAAGTTGTTCTGTGGCTTTGTGGTTTGTCTAGTTCACGCTCCGAGTCGGCAGCTCCAGTGATTCAAAGCAGTGAACGAAACTTCCTCCAGGAGAAGTCACTCTGGAGAATAGTCTGCGATGTTAACGCCCTGCTACTGCTGGTTGTTAACGTGTTTCTCTGGGGATACTTTGCTTAATGTGGTCATGAAATCTTGAACATGTTGTTGTTTTTCTTACTTCTTACTCTTCTTAATAACTTTACTTTTCTAAACTATTCAGGAAAGAAGTGGGACAGAAAAAGGATTCTCAGATATGAAACAATGAACTAATTATTCTCTATTGTATACTGTATACTGTATACAGGCGAGAGAGATAAGATTGACATCCAGTTAGCTCATTAACTGCCTTTGTTAGCAAACAATGTACAGCTCAATCTGCTCAACTTGAAAAAATAAAATAGCCCTTTATTGTGATTGTTCATGTACAACAAAATTATGACATGAGTACAAGTGCATCTGACAGGTACAGTTAGGAAGTAGTGCAAAGGACTTGGTCTGAGTATAGAGTCTGTATGTGAGTGTAGGTTTTTTGCCACTGTTCTGGTAGACGTTGATCTTGGTTTCATCTGTCCAAAGAATGTTTTTCTCGAACTGGCTTTTTTTTTTAGATTTGTTGTTGTTGTTTCTTTTTAGCAAAGTCCAGTCTCGCCTTTCTATTCTTGAGGTTTATGAATGGCTTGCACCTTGCAGTGAACATTCTGTATTAATTTTCAGTCTTCTTCTTTTATATTCTCATTTATCCAGTATATCTACCATGCCTTTTATGCACTTCTGGACTTTTTCTGCTCTTCTGTTAAAACTATCTCAGCCATGCCACTCTAACTTTGTCCTTCAAACCAATATAATCCAGTCTCCACCCTGAACTGACCTGAAACCCACCGGTCACTCCTACTGCACACCTCACCAGTGTTTCACTGTTCTCATACATGTTCTGCACTAGTCTTTCTCTATATCCACAATGACACTGGCTGTCTTTCGTCCAGTTTTCCTCCCCTCACAACATGGTGATGGCCGTCCATCCATGAGACTAGTTCTGTTGGAGGTTTCTTCCTGTTAAAAGGGATTTTTTTCTTCCAACTGTTGCCAAAACACTTGCTTATAAGGGGGTTATAGGATTGTTAGGGTTTTTCTATTTTCTTTGTATTATTGTAAGGTGTTTACCTTACGATATAAAGCCCCTTGAGGAAACTGTTGTTGTGATTTGGCACTATATAAATAAAACTGAATTGAACTCCCTTTGTCTCTGTTTGTCTGCAACCTCAGCAGATCAAAGGGAAATTAATTTGATCGCTGGTGTGTTCTGTGTTCTCACAGCTACAGTTAAACTCTCAAGATCAGAAATAAGTACAAACATTTCATATATTTTCTAAATAAACAAATTATTACATGCACATTCCTGTGACAACGCAACAGTTTGCTTCACTTAAAAGTAAGGCAAACTGTTGCATTCCTTTTGCAGTGCAGAGTTAAGCTGCACATATAAAATGCATACCCCCAGCAGAGAATCTATATTGTGCCATTATCACCAGCAGGAGGTGACACTAGTGTTAGGTCTCTGAAGTGGAATCTGTTCACAGAGCCAGCAATAAACAAAGGTAGAATTTACATCGTGAAAGACCACATATTAAATGTCCATTCTCAATAATTGTTTATTTATTAAAACACAAGCAAGTGGAAAGAAAGTACAACTATAGACCACGTTACATTGCTTGGAGCCAGGCCCAGGGGAGGGGCTTGTCAACAAGTGCCTGGTGGTCAGGCTAGCCTGTGCAGCCTGGCCGGGCTCAGTCACATCTTAACATAACATATTAATGTAATATGCCTGTCTTACAGAAGGTGCACACCTCTTTTTTATTACAGAAGGCTGTGATGACTAACTGAAACCAGACAAAAAAATTTATCTATACAGTAACGTGCATCACAGCTTGTAAATCATAGCACATTTTCCATAAATGCAAAAATGTGAAGAAATAACTGCCTTCTTGTCTGGTTATCAACCTTTATTTTTTCTGTTTAAAACAAATGGAAAAACTCAACAACACATAAATATCCATATTTACAGCATCTGTGGTAGTGTAACACAGCCTTCTGCATTCTTTCTTCTATACTACACCCATCTGGTCCTCATGAGAGCGCTGGTGGAAGACAAAGGACACAGCAGCATCCCAAGACTCTTTCAGCACTTGGTCCCTCAGGCCCTTCTTGTCAGAACAGTGGTTCCAATGGGAGAGGTCACTGTTACAGTCAGCATCATTGTCAGGTTGTCTTGTTTCTCTGCCATTCACACAGCGGCGACAGCGAAACCTAATACAGGAGGGGAAAGAGAGGCTGATTAAGAGCGTGCCATACATTATGATCCATAGTGTGAGATTATTTTTCTATCATAAGTTGCGCAGAGAAAAGACATAACTGTGAGAAAATAATTTCATTTCAGCGGAGCAATTAAATTTCTCACGTGTGAAGAACTTAGCAGCAATGAACACAGTGTCTGCTTTGTGCAGCTACAGTTTCCCCCCCTCGCGGGAGGCTTTTTCCACCTACAGAGGAATCCTGCTAACACGAATCAACTGACTTTTGACTGGATGCCCATAGGATCCTTTGATCAACAGTTCAGGTGATTGTGTTAAACAGTTACATTGGTTATTTACTGCGTAGCAGTATATATACTGACAACAGTCACTGGATTACATCACTGCTGAAGAAATCTTTAAAACCAGAAGATTCAAAGGTAAGTTCTGAAGCCTCTGCACTGCTGTCCCATTAATCTGCATGCCCTTTATAATTAAAAATAACAAGGATGAGGCAAGGAAGTGTGCATCATAATCAATCAATTATAATTATAGCCAAAATAGAAATATAACCATGCCACCAAAAAGCTGCTCAGTCAGCAGCAAACACGTTCACTTTGGTGGGATGTGCAGCTACAAGTGATAAATCAGTACAGACCGAGAAACTGTAGCCGTGGCCGCAAAGCACACACTCCTGCAGGTGCGACAGCTTCTTTGTGTGGCTTTTGAGTTTTACACGCGAGGGTCGTTAAATTTAAGCACAAAGAATTTAATTGTGCTGTTGAAATTAAATTCTTTTCTTGGATTATGTTTTTTTTCTTGAATGCAACTTATGATAGAAAAATAATTCCATACATAGCATAATAATGGCTTCAAACCATTACTATCCACGTCAACCTAGCAATAAAAATGCCATAACTAACAACTTCGAATCACTTTTCACGACAGTGTCAAACCCTCTCAGTTTTGCTCAAATAACTATTAATCTCGAAAACTCACATTAACCTCACTTGGTGTCAGTTCTTGTGCGAAAGCCCATAAAACCTAAAAGCACATGATAGGCTGCCCAGAACATGATAGATGCAAAGATCTAACTGCAGCTGCAATGAGCTCTCAACTCAGAGAAGAACACATAACCTTTTACAGCTACGTCACTTGTGCCAAGAAAATTTCTACAAGATATTTGGGCTTTAATTTTAATTTACCATTTCTAGAGTAAATTAAGTTCTCTGGACAATTAGTAGACTGAACAGCACAGACAACGTGTGTGAGTAACGTGTTGTACTTGTCGTGTGTGTCACTAGTGGTCTCTTCGTTGAGAGTGAAGAGTTCTCGGAGTTCGCCCAGAGAGAAGTGACGCTCCACATCCTGCTCTTCATCCACCACACAGCTGCTCAGGGCTTTTTTATGGGCCTGCCTTTGCAGGATCTTCTCTTCAATTGTTCCCGTCTGTCGGGAAACAAGCACAAGTCAAAACTGGTAAATCTGTAACCAGCTCAGTGTAGATTTCAAAAGTAACCTGCTGTACTAAAACACTGAATGTGAGGTCCTAAACACTGTTGAAAATGCACTGAACTGACAGAGAGAAGTCGGTAGATGTAGCAGGTCTTCTTCTGACCATCTCTCCACACCCGAGCCATTGCTTGCTCGTCATTCGCTGGGTTCCAGTCGGGATCAAACATCACCAAGCGGTTAGCACCAATCAGATTGAGGCCACATCCACCAGCCTTGCTACTCAGCATGAAGATGAACTCTGGGTTCTGAGAAAAAGATGTCTTCAGACGCTGTTCAGAAGTCTTTCAAAGCTCTAAATATTGCTTCAAACTGATTTTCCAACTCACCGATGGGCTGTTGAACTTTTCCACAATCTTGGCTCTTTTCTTGATGGACATTGTGCCATCCAGCCGAACATAGAGGTATCTGACAAAGACACAAAGGAGGAGGAATTAAAATCATTTAAATAGCGCACTTAAAATAGTGATTTCTGCAAATATACCTTCTAGATCTGCAGAGCTTTTCAAAGAGATCCAGAGTCTGTGTGTAGTTGGAGACAAGCACCACTTTGTCTCTTGTTGTGGTCTTTGTCATTGCCAGAATGTAGTCGAGAACCAGCATTTTCCCTGAAATAAACAAAGCAATAAATAGAGAGAGGAGAGGCTGCATGACTTTAAAATAGCACCACCCTTTAGACACATTAGGCACATTTACAGAAAATTAGTCTTAACAAAAGAAGGCAATAAAAAAGTTAATTCTTATAAAACAATATTTTCTTTAATATTATGTAAATGTAAACATTAGACAAGCTATTAAATTGTGAAAACAACCCTGTTCACATTTTTACTTATCTATCTGACCTAATGTTCTGTTTACATTCTACTAATCTAATGCTAATCTTCTTCCAACTAGTAAGTGTGGATGACCTGGAAGACCATCAGAGGAGCTGCACCACGATATGCTGTGCACGTTCTTACCAGAGAGCTGAGGTTCAACATCTTTGGTGGAGTAGTTTGGAGGGAAAAGTTCTAATGCCCCTTCAAATCCCTCCTCCCGTTCCACACACTTCTCATAAATAAGAGCTGGATCTGAGAAAGATGGCACTCATTTGTATTTTTTCCAAGCAGAAGATAATTCTAGATGTAAGACGACAATCTTGTTTTCTATTAATAGTTTACATTTTAGCTCAATTATGAGAGGACAATTTTTCTGATGATCACTGTAGTGTTCACAAATGCAACATTTTGTGTTACATTTTTCTCACTTACGATTGCACAGTTTCTTGAGTGATGTGATGGAAGACAGGGAGGAGACACTTATTTTGCCCTTTTGTAATGTCTCAATGGGTTTGGCCTGCTTTAGAAAGTGTTTATAGAGCTCTGTCTGTAGAGGGGTCAGCCTGCAAGGAATCACAAAGAGACACAAATTCAAATTAAATTCCATGTAAATTAAATCCTGTTTACATTTTTGTTTTGGGACACTCCATACTCCCAAAACACCTCTCACAGGACACCCCGAGGGACACGTTCGAATGCCTTCTCCAAGCCTACAAGACAAATGTAGACTGGTTGGGCAAACTCCCATGCTCCCTCGAGCATCCTCGAGTGGGTAAAGACCTGGTCCAGTCTTCCA